AACTTTTCTGAAGAAGGGTCTAGGCCCGAAACGTCAGCTTTCCTGCTCCTCTGATGCTGCTTGGCCTGCTGTGTTCATCCAGCTCTACACCTTGTTATCTCAGAAGTATGGGAATGACTGGAGAGTTCTACTAAAGAGGTGACACTGATGCAAGATGGATCATCTGTGAGGTTTTCGTCTGAGACTCTCTGGTTAGAGACTTTTGGATGACTATTTTCTTAAAATACCAGAACACTACTCAGTAGGAACAACAACTTAGATTTACTTTTAGTGGAATGAAACATCCCAAGGCCCGAAATTAAGTGGGACCTTCAGCCATGCAAGGAGATATTAGGTCAAACGACCAAAAGTTTGGTCAAAGAGGTAGGTTTGAAGGTTTTAAAGGAGGATAGTGAGGCAGAGAGGCAGAGTGACATGAGGAAGGAATTCCAGAGCTTAGGGGACAAGATAACCAAATGTGTGACCTCCAGGGTGGAGCAATTATCACTGGAAACATGCAAGAGGCTAGAACTGAAGGAATGCAGACAATTTAAGAGCGTTCTGGGGCTGGAGGAGATTACACACATAGGGAGGGGGAAGGCAATAGAGGGATTTGAAAACAATTTTTAAAAAAATAAAGAATTATTTGACCAATGCCAAAGCAGATTAGCAAGCAGAGGGTCTATGTGTATGGGTCTTGCTACAAGGAGGCACAGGCAGCAGTGTTTTCGGATGAGATAGTAAGAACTGTGGATGCTGGAGTCAGAGATAACACGGTGTGGAGCTGGAGGAACACAGCAGGCCAGGCAGCATCAGAGGAGCAGGAAAGTTGACGTTTTGGGTTGGGACCCTTCTTCAGAAATGGGGAGGGGGAAGGGGGCAGGGGGCTTGGAAATAAATATAGAGAGGAGGGGTGGGGCTGGAGAAGGTAGGTGGGATGGTGATAGGTGAGTGCAGGTAGGGAGTGGTGGGGATTGGTCGGTGAGGTGGGAGGAGCAGATAGGTGGGAGAGAAGCTGGACAGATTTAAAGAGTGTAGATTGTGGGGCACCAGCTGTTAGTGTGTTGCAATAGTAGAGTCTACAGGTAACAAACGAATGATTGAGGGCTTTAGCAGCAGACAAGTTGAGGCAGCATCAAATTCAGGGCGATATTGCTGAGGTGGACATTAGAGACCGTAGTGATGATCTGAATAGGAGGCTGGAAGCTCTTCTTGGGGCCAAGTGTTTAACCTCAGATTGCTGCCAGAGCTACAGAAAATAGGGAGTACCTGGGGTACATCGTGTTTGTGATGACTGTTTTTCAGATACCAAAGCATGTTATATTCTTGTGGTCTGATATCACCCGTGACATCAAGACAGAGTTTTTGTCAATGATACTGTAATGACTCGATAGTGATTCGAGCTTAACATGACAAAAACACAGTCATATGGTTCCCTTTGTTTCCACACGGTAATCAATATAGATAATAAAAGCTCAAATTTAAAAAAAGGAAGACAGATGAAATTAAAAATGCAAGGCATTCGGTGATAAAATGAGTCTTTCGCATCCACTCCCTGACTCAGGAGTGCCCTTAACACTTCAAAATGACATTCTGGGTGTATGCACCAAGTTGAGGGATGAATCACATTGAAAACTATATAGGTGCTGCCAATCATAGACTGCTGGAAGTATGCAGAACGGTCAGACACTGACTTTAATCAGCATATCTTATGCTGGCAGTTGAGATTTCCAGCTCATCTAACAAAGGAGTGAAAGAATGAGTTACAAACAGGAAAAAGCGAAGATCAGCCTCAATCTTATCAAATGGTGAGGCACAGCAGAATGGCTTGCTCCCAATTTACACATTCATATGTACCTACAAGTGTAGGAAAGATTGTGAACCAGCGTGTATTTAAAGTGCTTACAGATTTCTTGGTGATTGATTTCCTTGCTGGCTTATGCTGTGATTCTGCAAGTGTTTGCTGCTTTTTGTGTAGTTGCAAAGGATGGTGTGGTAGCTGCTGAAGGGTTTTTTTTTGCGGATTTCAAGGTTTCTGACAGTAGATGTCCTGTCTGAAATCTGCCACCTGCTGCAGCTGTAACAGCAACCTCAGCCCGGGACAAAGTCAGTCTGGCTCCTTCCAGACTGGAGCTGGAGATATTGGCAGCATTTTGCAACTTTCTGGTAGAGGGAATGTCACTGCGGCTCTCTAACCAAAGGGCATTAACTACTTAAAAAGAACTGCGGATGCTGTAAATCAGAAGTTGCCAGAAAAAGTTCAGTGGGTCTGGCAGCATCTGTAAAGAAAACATCAGAGTTAACGTTTCAGGTCCGGTTCTGAGGAAGGGTCACCAAACGTTAACTCTGATGTTTTCTCCACAGATGCTGCCAGACCTGCTGAGCTTTTCCAGCAACTTCTGTTTATGTTCCTGATATGAAATACTTTACGTTCTCTGTGTAACACTCTACAGAGGCTGTAACTAGAGCATCCTGTTCAGAACGATTCCATCAACAAGTGAATTTTGCTGTAGGGTTTAATTACAGATGTCGTAGTGATTCTTGCAGCATATGAGATCTGAGAGAGGTATATAACAAAATGACACGTTTAGTAAGATAGGAAAAGAAAAGCTGACTCCATTCTGGTGGAACCATGACTGCAGGACACAGGTCTGAGGCTCCAGGCAAGAGGTACAGGTGGTTACAATGAAGAGATTTCCTGGCATAGCAAGTGGGAGTGACCTGGAACTGGGTGCCTTGAAGTGTATTGGAATTGGAAACAATTTCAAAAGATGACTAATTGGGGAAAATAAACGTGCAGGGCTACAGGGACAAAGCAGGGAAATGGATTGCTCTACAGAGAGCTGGCATGGGCCAAATGGGCTCCTACTGGGCTAGAAATAAGTATGTTGGCATATAGTGCTGTCGTGTAATGATTCACTTTCTGCTTTTCAATAAGATGAAAGCTGATCTGATTTTAACCTCAACTCTACATTCCTTCATATCCCCAATAATCTTTCATCCCCTTGGTAATCAACAATGTATATCCACCTTAAAATTTTTTTAAAGATTCTGCATCCACTGCCTTTTGAAGGGAATTTTAAAGACTCTCAACCATCAGAGTAAAAAAAAAGTTTCAACTCAGTTTTAAAAATAAGGGCCTGCACATTTAAAACAATGACCACTAGTTCTAGATTCCCCCACAAGAAGAAACAACCAAGTGAATATTGAAAGGATAAGTCCCCTCAGATCTACATGTTTCAATTAATTCACCTTTGCTCTTCTAAATTTGAGGATATATGCCTAACCTTTCCCATGAGGCAATCTGCTCATTTAGGTATTAGTCTAGTAAATCTTCTTTGAACTGCTTCCAAAGCATTAACATCTTCCTGTACATACAGTGACCAGTTCTGTACACAATACTCTAGATGTAATCTTACCAATGCCCTGTATAACTG